AGAACTGGACGACTGTGTGTTTCCTGAGATCATCTGGGAGGCTAATTGTATAGAGACCTGTAGTCTCTAAATCACATTCTGCTTCCTGGTGCCCAGAACGGCCCATCAGGGCCCTTCGTGCTGAGCAGGTAACACATGTGTGTGTCTGTGCAGGGACCTTGGGGACAACAGGCCTCACCTTCCGGGTCCCTGGTTCTCAGGTCGTCAGGCAGGAGCTTAACCTTGGCCAGGGGAAGAAACCCCCGAGACCACTGTGGGGTGGAGACAGAGTCTGGTCCCTTTGTACTGGGGGGTGGGGGTGGAGGGTGGGGGTGTTGCTGGTGGAATTTTGGATCCCCAATCTGAGCAGTTTGAGGTACTCTCTGAAGCTCTCAGGGTCAGTGCTAGCTTTGGATTACTTTTGTCTTACAGATTAAACATGAAGACTGGTATGGAGACCCTGTGGGCCCAGGAGGTGATAGACATCATAGAGAAGTACCAGCAGGTAAAGGGTTGGCTGCTCCCTTGAGGCAGGCAAGTCCTGGCCTCTCCTGCTGTCCCTGAGGTCAGAGGGGCCTGAGCTCCCTGGGGACACATGCGAGGGAGGAGCCATCCAAAGCCACCCATGCCCCCAACCCATCACCATGGCCCCCTCACTCCAGAACTGTAAACTCCAGTGTCCCTCTTGCCTAAGGCATGGCCTCAACAAGCACTGAGGCTACTTCAAAGTCACATAGGTCACCCTTTTGCCCAAACCCAGAACATTCTTGCTAGGCTGGTGCTAAGATTTAAGTAGAATGCAGCAGTCCTGAGATTTCTTTTTGCCTCTAAAGAATTGGACGACTGTGTGTTTCCTGAGATCATCTGGGAGGCTAATTGTATAGAGACCTGTGGTCTCTAAATCACGTTCTGCTTCCTGGTGCCCAGAACGGCCCATCGGGGCCCTTCGTGCTGAGCAGGTAACACACATGTGTGTCTGTGCAGGGACCTTGGGGACAACAGGCCTCACCTTCCAGGTCCCTGGTTCTCAGGTCCTCAGGCAGGAGCTTAACCTTGGCCAGAGGAAGAAACCCCCGAGACCACTGTGGGGTGGAGACAGAGTCTGGTCCCTTTGTACTGGGGGGTGGGGGTGGATGGTGGGGGTGTTGCTGGTGGAATTTTGGATCCCCAACCTGAGCAGTTAGGGGTACTCTCTGAAGCTCTCAGGGTCAGTGCTAGCTTTGGATTACTTTTGTCTTGCAGATTAAACATGAAGACGGGTATAAAGACCCTGTGGGCCCAGGAGGTGATAGACATCATAGAGAAGTACCAGCAGGTAAACGGTTGGCTGCTCCCTTGAGGCAGGCAAGTCCTGGCCTCTCCTGCTGTGCCTGAGGTCAGAGGGGCCTGGGCTCCCTGGGGACACATGTGAGGGAGGAGCCATCCAAAGCCACCCATGCCCCCAACCCATCACCATGGCCCCCTCATTCCATGCCCTCTCGGGGTTGCAGGGACACCAAGCTGGGACACTGGTGAAAAACTGGGATGAGGAGTTCAAAATCTACAGACGCATCGACCGGCTCGGGTTGCTGCAGTGAGTTCTCTGACATCCCCCATCTCATCTCGGGGTTGGGCTTTGTTTCGGTTTGTTTGTGTTGCTATAACAGAAATACCTGAGACTGGGTAATTTATAAGGAAAATTGGTTTGTTTGGCTTACGATTCTGGGACAGCTGCATCTGGCACAGGCCTCAGGTTGCTTCTACTCATGGTGGAAAGTGGCAGGCAGCCAGTGGGTAGAAGCAGATCACATGGCGAGAGAGGAAGCAAGAGAGAGAGAGAGAGAGAGGAGGTGACAGGGTCCTATAAACAACCAGCACTTGTGGGAACTAATCGAGCAAGAACTCACTCATTACTCCCCCCTCCCCCAGGGAGAGCATTAATCCATTCATGAGGGATCCACCCCCATGACTCAATCAGTTTCCAACACTGCCACATTGGAGATCAAATTTCTTTCCTTTTTTCTTGTTTTTTTTAAAGATGACTGGTAAGGGCATCTTAACCCTTGACTTTGTGTTGTCAGCACCACACTCTTCAAAGTGAGTTAACCGGCCATCCCTATATGGGATCCAAACCCATGGTCTTGGTGTTATCAGGACCACACTCTCCGAGTGAGCCACCAGCTGGCCCAGAGATCAAATTTACACATGAGTTTTGGAGGGGATAACACATCCAAACTCCATCAGGATCCATCCTTCAAAAGGCCAGCATGAGGCAGGGCATGCCTTCCAGGCTTGTGCTTACCTTATTCCCAGGGTGGGTACAAGTCCCTTGCTCTGCTAGAGGTCCACCCCGGTCAGCACATGGCTGCAGTTCCGTGGCTCATCCAGGCAGCTCTGGGGATAGGGCGGGTACCAAGCTGTGGTTGGGCCAGGCCCTTGGCGCTCAGAAGTGTGGCCTTGATGTCTGCAAAAGAAAGAGGCAACCTAAGGGCTGAGCCCTGTCCCCAGAAGGAGCCTGTCCTGCTGTCAGCTCAGCAGGGTGGGGCCAGAGGGCACGAGGGCACTTGGTCCAGCCTGTGCACAGTTGTCCATCAGGTCCCGCCAGGATCAGAGGGGCACAAAGAGTCACAAAATGTATGGAAGAATGTGGCCATGTAGTGAGAGGAGGGGCAGGGACAGGGCCCCAGCCCAGGAATGGAAGGAGAAAGGCCATGGAGGCAGGCAGGGGTGGCAGATGAAGGCCACCTGACCCGTTGGTCTGGTGCTGGGAGGTCATGTGAGGCCTGGTGGGGAGGAGGCAGACTGGAATCTGTCTTTCCTGAGGTCACAGCATGGAGAGAGGGAAGCAGCCTGGGGGAGCTGGGCTGCAGGGGACCAGATGTGACAGGTGACTCGGGGATGCATCTGACTGAGCGAGCCTGGGGATAGAGTGAAGGCACTGGGGGTGGACAGGCTGGATGAGGTGGGGCCAGGGACAGCAGCTCCACCTGGGACCCCTGAGCCTCAGGGTCCTCGGTACCTCCACGGCCTGCAGTGTGCACTGGAGACTCCGCTCTCTGCTTGCTCGGGAACACCGCGGTCGGGGAGAGGATGCCATGGGCCAAGACAGGGCAGGAAGGCATGAGGAGGAAAGCCACTGCANGTGGACAGGGAAGGAACCACTGAGGGAGGCCAGGCAGGTGACAAGTGTCTCCCCTGCAGGCCAGGGTGTGGGGAAAGGGGCTCACCCTCTGTGTCCTGCCCCCTGTCTCGTCCTCTAGAGGCCTCATCCACCCCTCCCCTCACGGGTATTCCCTTGGGACCATCCGCCCCTCCCCTCATGGGTATTCCCTTGGGACCACCTCCAAGGTGGGACCATGTCTCTGACTGTGCTCCAGGACATGTCCCCAGAGCTCACTAGTTTCTCATCTGTGCCTGGGAAAAAGACGGAGCCTCTTCTGATACTGCCACACTCAGAACTGTAAACTCCAGTGTCCCTCTTGCCTAAGGCATGGCCTCAACAAGCACAGAGAGGGGCTTCAAAGTCACATAGGTCACCCTTTTGCTCAAACCCAGAACTAAGATTTAAGTAGAATTCAGCAGTCATGAGATTTCTTTTTGCCTCTAAAGAATTGGACGACTGTGTGTTTCCTGAGATCATCTGGGAGGCTAATTGTATAGAGACCTGTGGTCTCTAAATCACGTTCTGCTTCCTGGTGCCCAGAACGGCCCATCGGGGCCCTTCGTGCTGAGCAGGTAACACATGTGTGTGTCTGTGCAGGGACCTTGGGGACAACAGGCCTCACCTCCCAGGCCCCTGGTTCTCAGGTCCTCAGGCAGGAGCTTAACCTTGGCCAGGGGAAGAAAGCCCCGAGACCACCGTGGGGTGGAGACAGAGTCTGGTCCCTTTGTACTGCGGGGTGGGGGTGGAGGGTGGGGGTGTTGCTGGTGGAATTTTGGATCCCTGACCTGAGCAGTTAGGGGTACTCTCTGAAGCTCTCAGGGTCAGTGCTAGCTCTGGATTACTTTTGTCTTGCAGACTAAACATGAAGACGGGTATAGAGACCATGTGGGCCCAGGAGGTGATAGACATCATAGAGAAGTACCAGCAGGTAAAGGGTTGGCTGCTACCTTGAGGCAGGCAAGTTCTGGCCTCTCCTGCTGTCCCTGAGGTCAAAGGGGCCTGGGCTCCCTGGGGACACAGGGGAGGGAGGAGACATCCAAAGCCTCCCATGCCCCCAACCCATCACCATGGCCCCCTCACTCCAGGCCTTCTCGGGGTTGCAGGGACACCGAGCTGGGACACTGGTGAAAAACTGGGATGAGGAGTTCAAAATCTACAGACGCATCGACCGGCTCGGGTTTCTGCAGTGAGTTCTCTGACATCCCCCATCTCATCTCGGGGTTGGGCTCTGTTTCAGTTTGTTTGTGTTGCTATAACAGAAATGCCTGAGAATGGGTAATTTATAAAGAAAAGAGGTTTACTTGGCTTATGATTCTGGGACAGCTGCATCTGGCACAGGCCTCAGGCTGCTTCTACTCATGATGGAAAGTGGCAGGTAGCTGGCGGGTACAAGCAGATCACATGGCGAGAGAGGAAGCAAGAGAGAGAGAGAGAGGAGGTGACAGGGTCCTGTAAACAACCAGCACTCGTGGGAACTAATCGAGCAAGAACTCACTCATTACTCCCCCCTCCTCCAGGGAGAGCATTAATCCATTCATGAGGGATCCACCCCCATGACTCAATCAGTTTCCAACACTGCCACATTGGAGATCAAATTTCCTTTCTTTCTTTTTTTTTTTTTAAAGATGATCGGTAAGGGGATCTTAACCCTTGTCTTGGTGTTGTCAGCACCACACTCTCCAAAGTGAGTGAACCGGCCATCCCTATATGGGATCCAAACCCAGGGCCTTGGTGTTATCAGCACCACACTCTCCCGAGTGAGCCACCAGCTGGCCCGGAGATCAAATTTACACCTGAGTTTTGGAGGGGACAAAAGATCCATACTCCATCAGGATCTATCCTTGAAAAGGCCAGCATCAGGCAGGGCGTGTCTCCCAGGCTTGTGCTGACCTTATTCCCAGGGTGGGTATGAGTGCCTTGCTCCCCTGAAGGTCCACCCCAGTCAGCATATGGCTGCAGTTCCGTGGCTCATCCAGGCAGCTCTGGGGAGAGGGCAGGTACCAAGCTGTGGTTGGGCCAGGGCCTTGGGGGCTCAGAAGTGTGGCCTTTATGTCTGCAAAAGAAAGAGGCAACCTGATGGCTGAGTCCTTTCCCCAGAAGGAGCCTGTCCTGCTGTCAGCTCAGCAGGGTGGGGCCAGAGGGCACAAGGACACTTGGTCCAGCCTGTGGACAGTTGTCCATCAGGTTCCGCCAGGATCAGAAGGGCACAAAGAGTCACAAAGTGTACGGAAGAATGTGGCCATGTAGTGAGATGAGGGGCAGGGACAGGGCCCCAGCCCAGGAATGGAAGGGGGAAGGCCATGGAGGCAGGCAGGGGTGGCAGATGAAGGCCACCTGAACCATTGTTCTGGTGCTGGGAGGTCATGTGAGGCCTGGTGAGGAGCAGGCCAGCCTGGAGTCTATCTTTCCTGAGGTCACAGGATGCAGAGAAGGAAGCAGCCTGGGGGAGCTGGGCTGTTGACTTGGGGATGCATCTGACTGAGTGAGCCTGGGGATAGAGTGAAGGCACTGGGGGTGGACAGGCTGGATGAGGTGGGGCCAGGGACAGCAGCTCCACCTGGGACCCCTGAGCCTCAGGGGCCTCGGTACCTCCAAGGCCTGCAGTGCGCACTGGAGACTCCGCCGTCTGCTTGTTCGGGAACACCGCGGGCGGGGAGAGGATGCCATGGGCCCAGACAGGGCAGGAAGGCATGAGGAGGAAAGCCACTGCAGGGGGAGGGAGGAGGACACAGCACTGATGTCCCCAAGAGCCAGCTGAGGCTGGAGATCTGGCCCAGGGCAATCCCGGCCACCTGCAGGGCCCTCAGTCACCGTTCATGGCTGGCCCAGTGGTGTCTCCCAGCACAGGTAGAGCAGGCACAAGGCAGGAGTTTGGGCTGATTGGGGGACTGAGGGGCCACATTCAGAGGATCTCACAGGGCAAGGGAAAGGGCAGGGTCAATGTGGCTGTGGTGACGGCAGGGTCTGTGGGCCAGACGGGATGGGGTGAAGTCAAGGAACGGGCATGACCGTCGGCCAGTGTGCAGACACGGGCAAGGGGTGTTGGATGATCAGAGCTTGGCCGGGGTGGGGTGACACATGGGACAGCTCGAGGGTGCACTCTTGACACACTTGGAAGGTCTCAATCCAGACCCCTTGGACCCCATGAAGGTGATGGGGTAACTTCCTTGGGGGCAGCTGTCAGAGACCAGCCAACTGACCCTCAGGCAGTGCTGTTCTTAGCAGCTCTGGACTCTCTCACCTCTCCCAGAGGGCTCTGCCTGCAGCCAAGGAGGGGCAGGTGCACGCTGCACCCCCAGCCCCCACGGCCCCCGAGCATCCCTGGCTGGCCCTGCTGCTCCTTTGCTTTTGTGTCTCAGACCATCCTGGCTGGCAGCCAGCAAAAAGGCCCTGTCCTCCCTTTCCTATGTGGTCTCCTGGGCTGCAACTTGCAGGT